TCATCCTCTTTTCTCTCCCTGACTCACACACACACAACGCATACACATACAAGCACACACACACACAAACACACACAAACACACACACACACACACACACACACAAAATCACACACACACGCAAACACACACACACACATACACACATACTAATATTTACACAAAACACACAGACTCACACACTGAAACATATTTGAAGACTGTGATCGATATCTCAATGAGTCTCAAGCTTGGTCTACTAGGTAGATGATTGAAATCGGTGTCACATTGGTTAGTTTTTGATGATGATGATGATTTAAAAAAATATTATTATTATTAGCATCATTATTACTATCACTATCATCATTATTTCTTCTCACAGACATGACGGAAGAAAGGGAGACAACAAAGAAGATCAGGGAAGTCAGGTGTGTGTATCGAAGCAAATGTTCCCTTCATCGAAGCGTAACCCCACTAAAGAAACCGTCGCCTCTGCCCCAGTCCCTCTCATGAACACGGCACGTCCTGTTGTCGTTTGTTCAAGAACGACCAGCAAAAGGCTGCCATATTTCTCCAAGCGCTGTAAAAGGTACCAGAAAGCTGGCGCCGGTAGCAGGGCGTTTAAGAGAAAGTCCAGGAAGAACAACGCTAGGTTCAGGCGAAGGTCTGCCAGGGGGGAGAAGAGGAAACGGGTCCGCACGCCTTTCCCGCGGAATTGGTCGTCCCGACCCGCTGGCCGCATGGCTCGGGGTCGTTCTCCTTCTTCGGCCTCCTCCACCTGGGCAGACGTATTCAACGAGGCCTGGGAACATTCCGTCTTCTACCACACCGCGGTGGCCGACTCGGAGCCCGGCCCAGGTCGACAGAACATTCCTTGTAAACGGCCCAGGGACAGTTGGCACAGCACTCAGCTTTTGGACATTCCGCGTCCCTCGGTTGATGACGTCACAAAGACGATGAGGCAGGGAAATGATCCGTTTCCTGCCGGGTACGAATCTAGCTCTCAGGTCTCTGGATCCGTGGTTGAATTTTCACACTCAGAAAAGGTTAGTAGTCCTAGTCTGTGTGCTGTACACACAGGTGTGAACAATTTTTTTAGCCTTTCAGTTCAATATACAATGAACCTGGAAGGGTTTTTTTTCACTCTTGCGTTGTCTATAAGAGTAATAGTTTTCATTGTGCTCGATTGTCAAATGATAATAGTCAATTATAATTCTCCCCCACCCACATCAACCTCGTTTAGATCCTTTGTAAGGCAGTCTGCTGCAACCCTGCCAGCCACTGATGACCTGGACACAGCATCCCTGTAGAAAAACCGAGATACTCCACAACATAACATCCCATTGCGGGAATTTCTCGTGCATCCTGAGTGCAATGTCTCAGGGCCTCACAATGCATTACAGACGTCGTTTCTCTGCGTCTCTGCAACATGTTATGCTAGTTATTTGATAGCAACATAAACACGGGGTTTCTGTCTTGGAGTAACTATATATGGAGAGGCCCTAACGTTGCGTCGCCCGCTCAACAGTTCCAACCAAGTTGAAGCCGAAAGGGCGGAGCTTATCGGGCCTGCCGCCATCTTTGTAAGTTCAAAACAATGCAGCGTACGCAGCGTGATCTCCTTTCAAAACAAGCTGCTCGGACTCCATTTTCTCTCAAAATTTCTTTGTCAATGTTAATTACAGCATTATAAGCACTCACGTACAGTTGTAATGTAATAAGGATGTTAACAAATCTTACTTGCATCAAATTTCCAGCTCATTTAGTCGAATATTTACAGTAATACGTGTACTATGTATACACATTGTGATGGTAAGATATTCTGTTTTACATGTTTTAGAGACAAAATTGGGATAATAAGGATCAAAACAAAATTATAAACGGGATGATAACATTTGCTGAGTTTTTGGTAGTCGAACTTCATTATTTTTACAAAAAGCGAAGACTTCTTGATAGTAACAATATAATAAGGACAGCAAGAAATCTTACTTGCATCAAATTACCAGCTCACTCAGTCGAACATTTGGTAATACATGTACTATGTATACACATTGTGACGGTAAGATAAATTTATTTTTTAAACTTGTTTTAGAGAAGAAATTGGGATAATAAGGATCAAAACAAAGATATAAACGGGATAACAAAATTTGCAGACTTTTCGGTCATAGAACTTCATCAGTGCAAAATGATGTCATCACTGACATTATTTTTACAAAAACGTAGTCTTCTTGACTTAAACTTACAACAGAATATATTTCTAACAAAATTGAAAATGATTACACAAAAGATGGTAGTGAGGGTGGGATGGGATGGGCGAAGAATGAGGAAGGAGAGGGCAAGGCAGATAAGAGTGAAGTATGATGGTGGAAATTACCCCCCCCCCCCACACACACAAAAACAAGAATAAAACAGCCCCCCCCCAAATAAAGTGAGGAGGGAGGGGCACCTTTAAAACACCAAGACACTTTATCTAAATTTTACAAAATACTGTTATGGGTATTGAAAAATTAATAGAGAATTTGAAATGATAGACTTATAATAAGAAGATTTTCAAAACAGATTGCACTAATTTATGACATTTCACTCTTGACAATGTCACACTCCATGCACAGACAGAGGACACATGGCATCAAAAATGTTATTCACACACCAAACACACTTCAATGACATTCTTTGAAGGCATTGTCGAACCTCCGACGAGACTTAAAAAAACAGCAAGGAATTTACTTTTGACACATTGGAGTCAACAAAGGCGTATGCAAGTTGCGCACGTTAAAGATCCCTTGGTGGTCTAAAATCGATAAGAGTAGGCTTCAGCCGCCACCCGGGCAAAAATTCAAAATTTCCTACCAACGAAAAAGTATTAGGTGTGTCCCGCGCGCTCATATGACCTAATGCAGCTGCGAGCGCCATAAAACCCTATACTAAACAAACAAAACAACGAAGGCACTGTCGAACCTCCGACGAGACTTCAAAAAAACAGCAAGGAATTTACTCTTTTGACACATTGGAGTCAACAAAGGCACCGATGCAGGTTTCACGTTTTCAAATGCTTTGTCAACCTTAACAACACAAAACCAGCAATGTAAGCAACATGCAGAGCAAATTGACAAGTATGCTAGAGTAGATCTAGGCACATACGTGCAGTTATCATCATGGCAAACTGAATTTTCTGAAATCTTTTTTCATTCTGTTTTTACTGTGAGATGCATTTACGGCTAAATCAGAAGGCACTTCGTCATCAAGTTCAGTGCCATTGCTAGAGACTGATATTTTTAAAAACATTTGGTAGGAAATTTTGAATTTTGCCTGGGTGGCGACCGAAGCCTACTCTTATCGATTTTAGACCACCAAGGGACCTTTAATTTGCGCAATTTGCATACGCGACCTCCGAGATTTTTTCGCCCTTGTCCGAGAAGGCTAGGGGTAGATCTTTCCTACCAGAAGATCAGGGGTGTGGCTGAAAGACAGAGGTAAGAAGGAGCCAAGGAGTAGCAGTAGAAAGGCTGCAGAAAGAGTCCGGAGCCCTGAGGAGGTAGGGGCAGAAAGTGGAGGTGAAAGCAGACGAAAGAGAAAGTAGAAGTTTAGAGAACAAAATTTTTCCGTCACTACTCGGATTCGAACCCAGGACCTTTGAATGAGAGGCCCACCGGACCCGAACGCTACGCAAACTGCCATTCGGTTGACACTAAGTTTACAACTGAGAGAACTGAGCTGATCTCACAAACATGGCCGACCGTCGTCTGCAGCGGCTTCACGTTACGCGACTCGCGGCCTCTCCTATTATAGTTCCTCCAAGGTTTCTGTAGCATCTTGAGATAAATATTTAGGTATATATAAGTTATGTAAGACAATATTTTATTAATCAGTTTTTGTATAACAGATGAAACATAACGGAAACACCACCATATTAAGTGGTTAAACGAATTGCTGTAATCCACTAAGACAAAATGTATTAAATTGTATGGTCGCTTTTAGGACTAAGCGTGCTAACCCAGATTTAAGGGGTTTCTGGAAATCTAAACTACACAAAAAGTGGACAGTGCCACCAAACTATAGCAGACGTTTGGTTTCATTGGTGTATAATATATTTGTTTGGTTATGATGAAAGCTGTCCTTGTCTTTTTAAGAAACCACAGATTTTTGAAATAATTTATAAAACGTATCAGTTTTCTCTTAAGTACTGTTCCACATAATAGTACCAATCTGTTTGGTAGAAAATGCTAAAAAATGTAATGCCTACATGGCTAGGCAGGACGACTTAACCCAATGATAGAGAGTGACAAGCTTGGTGAGTTAGCCCACTGTACAGGGGATAGACCATTTGTATAATATTATACTTTGAAGCAGGAATAGTCCAGATAGAATGGTATACCTTATTTCGGACGGGGTGGCCCGTTTCGCCCCCTGATTTGCTTCACGGGCGTTTTCTGCATATCTTGAGCTTAAAAGCGACCGAAAATAATTATGTAAGGTGTCTTTGTTAACTGTTGTATGCCAAACAGTTTCTTAAAGGATTTATAGATATAAGGATCTGAACGTCCCTCTTATTTCAGTACCAGTCTAATATAAATATTTTTCCATAGCTATTTCACAACAATCCTGCTCTCTCTCTCTCTCTCTCTCTCTCACACACACACACACACACACACACACACACACACACACACACACACACACACACACACACACAGCCCAGACACACACACAGACACACACACAGACACACAGACCAAACAGACAGACAGACGCACACACACACACACACACAGAAATAAACCCTCCCCATTGAAACAGTAGTATGTTTGACACCTAAGAAGGAGGGATAATTATCGTACACTACACACACAACGGTCTAGCTCTATATTTTTTGACACAGCATGCTCTGTACTTGGGCACAGCAGCTGTTGGTGTTTTTTCTTCTTTCTTCCGCGCACAGGGTCAACGAACAATGTGGTTGTTGTTTTCGTGTTTGGTGTTGTTGTAGTAGTAGCTGTTGTTGTTGTTGTTGTTGCTGGTGGTAGTTGTGGCGGTGGTGGTGGTGGTATTGTTGTTATTTTTGTTATTTTCGTGTTTGTTGTTGTTGTTGGTGGTGGTGG